TTGAAGTTGTTTCTCGCGGTCAAAATAACTCAAAGGACCAACAAAGGAAAGAAAAACCCTCCCCCCTTATCATCAAAAGCCTTCCATTGTCACAAATAAATACTTCTGAAGGAGAGGGGGAATTATATTTGAAGTTGTTTCTTGCGGTCCAAATAAACCAAAGGACCAGCAAAGGAAGGGAAAACCCTCCCCCCTTATCATCAAAAGCCTTCCATTCCCATAAATAAATACTTAGGATGCCTCTATGGATCCAGGGGATACCAAAGTGTAAGCCCATTATATTCTAAAAGAAAAAACACATTCAAAAAATATGTTTTGAATCTTCCTCCGAGACTTTGCACATAGGACATCTCGAAGCTAATTTAAGGCCTTTCAACTTTAGAATGCCATCAAGAGGCAGTAAAGAAGAGAAAAATCACCAGAGGAAAAAATGAGATAGAGGGAGTTAAAAGTTTGTGCCAAATCCATTTTCCCCACAACCAATCCCGGTGAGAGTGTAAAGTGTCATAGATTAACTTGTAGACTGATTGAGAAGTGGTCCTCTTCCACACGGGGAAATCCCTGTCGGAAGGGGGTAATAGGTATAGTATTTATATGCTTAGCATTTTGCTCCCCCACAATAGAACACAACTTGATGAAATCCCATCTATCTTGAGAAAAGTAATAAAAAATAAGTAAGTTATTAGTATGGGGAGGATGAGAATATTCAGAGAGAGAAGACAATCCCCAATTATCATTCCAGAAAGGGATGTTACCGTCACCAATGTCCCAAAACATGAAATTACTAGCAATAGACCTAACATTAACTACAACTTTCCAAATTCGAGAATCACCAACCTTCCACAAAACTTGGGAAGGGTGAGAAAAATCACAGTATTTCTGATGTATAAAAGTAGCTAATAGAGATGAGCCTATTCTAAATTTAAACCAGAGTTTGCAAAGGTATATTCCAAATCCGAGAATCACCAACCTTCAACCGTGTGTTTCAAGGCTTTAAAGCCAAAACCGTCAGCCTTCTTAGGATTACACAACCTTTGCCAAGAGCCCCATATATTCTTAGCACCATTCCTCACCCAAAGAAATTTATTGAAAAACCTCTCCATGACATTAATAGCACTTTTCTTCGGATTAAATACCTGCAAAACATATAGAGGAATACTCTGAAGCACACTAGATAACAATGTTATCCTGCCCCAGTAGAAAGGAGAATATTTCTCCAATCATTAATTTTACGTTTGATTTTATCAATAACATCATCCATATGAATCTTTTTCCTCCTGCCCCTAATCAAATTAACCCCAAGGTATTTAAGAGAGAGAGGGGCATAGTGATAACCTGTATAAAAAACCCCATAAAGAATAAGTTG